AACAAAAATGCCCCAGAAAACCAATATCATAATATTATATGGTCTATGTATAACAAATTAACAACAAAGGCTGGTATTGAAACAAGCCATGATTATTCTCATACAACACGATCATTCACTCTAATTAGCTATACTTTCTCACGTACCGTTAAACCTTTAATCTCACAACTTTATTGATTTTTCTCAAAGGAAACTTTTGGTTTAGCTTTAATTAGGATACGCGATGATAACACACTGAACATCATCAATGTCTCTAACTTCATATCGAGCAAAACCAGCTTCGTTAAGAACAAAGTCCCACTCTTTCAAAGTCCTTTCTTTGCCTGTGCTTGTATGAGCCATCATCACCATATCAAGCATCAATCTCACGTGTTCTAATTTCTCATCTCTTTCTTCCACTATCATCGTCTTCTTCTTGTCTCTTATCACAGATTCCACTATCAACACTTTTCCAATATTTGGTGGGACCGCTTCTTTGCAATTCTTCAATATTTTTATGCATTCTTTGTCTCCCCAATCATGTAACACCCACTGCATCATTATCACAATTTTCACGAATTAAATAGTATATATTTTCTATCAAATTTATTGAAGTCTTATCTAGAGTATTTACTGATCAGAAATAATTCTCCACTGAACTTAAGACGAAATAAAAGATAATACCAGCTAATTATTTATGCATGAATTTTAAAACGAAAGTTCTAACTAATGAATTTAATTGGTTAGAAAAATCAAAAAAGTGATAAGTTTTGTCACTCTCGTTTTTAATATAAAAATATAGTATGTATTTGGAGTAAGTATATAGGTTCATCCGTTCATGTGATATCTGGAAAATTTGTTTTTGGTTGCTTTATTGATTTGGTACTGAATTGGTAGTGGTTGGTTGCTATCAATTGATTGAGTAGTTAATTTTGTGTCATAATATGTCATTTCTAAATTATTCATTTTCTATGGAAGATGGTGGAACATTCAAACTTTTTTCAATTTTTGTGTTCGACATCCGGACCTTTTTTCTGTAACAAAATTGAAATAGTTAGTGTTTTCTAAGAAGTGGTTCTAAATATAAACTTATATATACCGCAAAAAAAAAATTTATGGAATAAAATGTCAAGCAATATGTTATTATTACTTCTCAAATAAGAGAAGTATTTATTTTTTGTCAACAAAGAATTTTTTTTGAGAACTTCTCTTTGTTGACCAAAAAAGACTTCTCTTTATGTGTGTTTTAAGTCTCTCTAGCAACAATATATGTCATATTTTTGTAATGTTACTTTTTTTTTGCTTGTTAATAATAGTAATATGCAATGCAAGTTTACGAAGTTTAAACTTGGGTAGTTTTTTTTTTTTTTTTGATAAAGAAACTTGGATAGTTACGTATGAACAACACTAATTTTAAGGGAAAAGAATGATTTGCAATATTAAAAAGAGTTTCTGACAGCAACAAGCTTATAATTAAGGAAATTTCGTTCTGATTTTCTTATAACTTAATTATAGAGTACGATGCAACAACAAAATTTTATCGAGCAAGCTGACTGCCAAACCAGTGGCTATAAGAACGCATAAAGACAATAGAACGCACAATAAGACAGTAGACACCAACGTTATACCAAATAGAAA